AATCAGCCTCATTACTCTCCAGTGACATCTACAGGCCTCCCAAGAGGAGTGAGCAGAACACATGCTCCAATCACTTTCTAATTACTCTCCAACTAACCAAACTTGCCTCCCAAGTAAGGGTCTGGCGGGAGGTCAGTGTGTATACGTGCGTGTGGTGTATTTGTGCACCTCTGGGTGCACATCTGATCGCGCACCTCTGGGTTCCAAAGCCCGATCTCCAGGGAGGTTGCATTATTCACTCATTTCATGTCGGCTCTACCTTTTCTCTCCTCCACTTGTGGAGATAGATTGGGAGTTGACTCTAGTTTGAATCCCAGTCAAAAATGTTAGAAATGGATGCCCGAAGCTGGGCTGTAACCCCTACTGCTGTGTTGTTGCCTTTACCTAGAGGACTTGAAAGAAAGTTTGCTTTTCTTTCTGTGTGTTCTTTCTCTTTTATATGAAACAGACTTGGGAGTATCAAAACTGCTGGGTGCACTACACAGAGTTTATAGAGAGGGAAGACTTGGTTCACAGCTACCACTATATCTACTGTGTGCGCTGGAGCATCCCAACTGCTAAGAGACCCATGCCACAAGTCACCGCCTCTGCCTACTTCACCATCAAGATCACCAAAAACAAACCTCCAGTAAGCTCTTCCTTTTCTGCCCTGTTCGCTTAGATGAGACTTCAATGAAAACGGAGACTTCTCCTGTCAGGGTCATTGATGACCCCTTCTTTGTAAAACTTAAGTCCTATTTCTGTCATCTTGCTTGGCCAATCTACAGCACTTGCCAGAGCTGCTCACTCCCCGCTTCATGAGATATTCCATTTGGCTGCTAGAACCACACACTATCTGGGTTTTCCTTCCTGCCTCACTGACCATTCCTTCTCAGTCTCTATTGGCCTCAAACCTGTCCTCCATACTCCTCTCCTTGGTGATCTTGTCGTCTCCTGACTTTAAACGCCGCCTCTAGCTTATGCTTCCCAAATCTGCATCTCCAGCCCAGATCTCTGCCACTTGGATGTTTAATAAACAGCTCACTTCTTGTATCCAAAACTGAACTTCCAATTTTCCCTTCCCAACCTGACCTGCCCGCAGACCTCTCATCTCCATTCATGGCCCAAATCCTTGGCATCATCCTCGACTCACATCCCTCATCCAACACATTAGCAATCCTATTGGCCCTATCTTCAAAAATAGGTCCTGAATCCAACAATTTCTTACCACTCCACTTCTACCACCTTGGTACAAGACACCATCATCTCTTACCAAGATTATTTCAATAGCCTCCTAACTGGCCTCTCTGCTTCCACCCTTGCCCTCATTGCGGATCTTTTCAAAATAGCAGCCGCCAGCCAGAGTGAGCCTGCTAAAATGAACCTATGTCACTCCTCTGTTTAAAATGTTCCAACGTGTTTCTCTAACTTCTAAGTGCATGCACATTAATTGCAGATCTTGTTGAAAGGAAGACTCTGATTCAGCAGGTCTGGGGTGGGGCCTGAGATTCTGCATTGCTAAGAAGCTCCCAGGTGGTGCTCCCAGGTGTGTGCCGGCCCACAGAGTACTTTGAGTAGTGAGGGCCTGGGGAGGCCCTTGCGTGACCTGGTCTCTTGTTATCTCTGCTTTCCTCCTCCTCCTCCTCCCTCCCTCCCTCTCCTCCAGCTGTGATCTTGTGACTTTAATAATCCAGGTAGAGCCCCACCTCAGGGCCTCTGCATCTGCTGTTCCCTCTGACTGGAAGACTCTCACCTAGGTGTGCGCACATCCTGCTCTCACCTCCTACGTCACACTTTTACCCCTTCCTCCATGCTTTTGCTTTTTCTCCCTAACACTTTCTTACCTTCTGAGAGTCTATGTAACTTATTATCTTGTTATTGTCTGTTCCCCCTACCAGAATATAAGCTCCACAAAGGCAGGAATTTTTGTTTTGCTGTAAAATGAGGCCTGGCAAGTAATAGGCACTCAAGAAATACTTGAAGGAATGACTGCGGGTAGCCAACCAGGTAGACCAGGAATATGAAGTATGTTGATAGCTGGTGTGAAAGGAATCCAAATAACATCCACAAATCCAGGGTTTGGGTCATCAGAGGAGCAGGTCTGGTCCCAAGCACAGTGCCTGGAATACAGCAGACATACACACGTTATTTTCCCCCTTGCTGCCCATTCTGTCACAGAAGTTATCTGAGGCTTGGTCTGCCCCCAGAGCTTCACAGAGGACTACACGGTGGGCCAACTCTGTCTTATGTTTATCCTATCCTACTACAAACTTATGTATTTGAACCTGGAGTCATGTAAAAAGGTAAAGTACGTGGAGCTCTCACTCCTCCCGGTCATCTATCCTGCCATCAGCTGTCTTGCTAACTGGCAAGGTTGGAGATTGGAAAGTAAGGCTGCTGGAGGTAAGCAAGACCATGACCAGAGACTGTACATTGAGGGCTTAGGAGAAGGGCTCTTGTTCTCAATTCCACATATAATTTTGGAAGGGAGCATGGGTAGAGACCCCTGAGACAATATTACAACCTCCACTTTTATGCTGCTTTACAAATGTTTTCAAACCGTGTTTATCTGTATTATTTCATTCTTATCCTACTCCTAAGAGGTAAATACTGTCCACTGAGTAGAGTGGAACATAAAAAGAAAGTAAATGACTATTCATGAGGAGCACAAGCCTTTCCTGACTTGTTTCCAATTTTGCAGAGATTCTTCAGGTATTTGTTGCCAAAAAGATCTTTTTGGGAACAGAGATTTCAAGTGACAAAGAACTACCACCTATAGACATCCCAATAAGGAGGATGAATTCTAGAAACTTAAGAGTATACATACGGACAAGTGTAGGGATGGAAGGAATTACGAGTTGGTATGATTGGTATAAGCTAACAGTTATCCTTTTCTCTCTTAGGATATGCCCATTGAGGTCTTTTATATCTTTGAGGGCCTTTCGTTTGTTCACAGGTAATTAACATTTGGAGACTGTGTGTGTGTGTGTGTGTGTGTGTGTGTGTGTGATCTCTACGCCCAACATGGGGCTAGAACTCATGGCCCTGAGATCAAGAGTCACATGCTCTACTGACCGAGCCAGCGAGATGCCCCTGGAGGCTTATTTTTAAAAGGGTGGTGGGCAAAGGTCATCACACCCCAGGAACCTAGCAGGCCCACAGCCACAGATAACTCATGTAATGGTCACTTTTCTTCTTTGGCCCACCCACCCCATTAGGATGGGCTGAAAGGATTCTGCCATTGTTCTAGAAAAAAATTTTTAATGTCTCATTTTTCAGTAATTAAAAACTTGAGGATTAACTGCTAAAGGATGGTGGGGGCAAAGTGGGTCATGTCTGTGTTTCTACGGGAAACTTCATAGTCAATGGAATTAAGTCCTATATAATAATCTTTTATTTGTACAGCAGCTCTTTTAGAGAATCTTTACATATAAACTCATTAATCCTTTTACTGATTGGGCCTATGGAATAGAGACAACCTTTGCTCCCCACCCTCAAAGGACTTCTTACTCACTAGGAATGTAACAGAATAAACAGGGAATCCCTGGCTCAGTGTTTTATGTTAAAAAGTTTTGGTATGTTTGTTTTTCTTCCTCTGCAGACCAGGAATGACTCGCTTTCAAGAAAAATGGCTGAGGGATATTATTGAGGCCAAAAGTATTTTAATGGAGTCAATTCCCTTCTAATTCAATTGTGTCTAATTCTTACAGAATGTTTTAGGATTGGATTTCTAATCAGAATGTATTAAAAATACGATACTGCACATCAAACCACAGAAAATTTATTGAATAAACTTGTGGCAAACAATCCAGCTGTATTTTTTTTTTTTTGCATTCATTCATTTTCCATTTGGCAATTTCCATCACATTAGCAGAGTAACCAGTAAGTTGTTTTCCATTTCTAAGTGGCTTTTCCCATCACTGTCTACATCACTTGAGTCTTACAGGTACAGAAGCCAAGTTTAGAGATTTCCTAAAATTCACCTGTCAGACTGAGAATGATACTTGGCTGCTTGTTCCATCTGAGCCTAATTCTCTAGTAGACACACCTCTTTAATGGGCATAACTGAGGAAAAGAAAAATGGCAACAGTTCTACAGCTCATAATGTAACCAGTCTAAAGATTTCTCTACTCACAGGCCCCTTCACTTACTGTGAGTTAAGCCTCAATGTTAACTAATACTACACTCCGATACTCTGAAACCGGGCACCCTGCATACCACACAGCATCACAATCGTGATGGCAGCAGGGTGGCTTCAAAACAGGAGGCAATTGCCACCCTTACTTATTTCTGGTCTTTCCATCCTCACACCAGATCATCACTTGTTCCTACCATCCCTGTGAGGCTGTCTTGTCTGACTGCAAAGGTTTAAACCACCAAAGACAAGATTACATTATGGGTGATTACGTACAGGTACATCAGAATACATATTTATGCAGACAAGCACTGGAAGGGAACACACAATACTAAAGACAAATGATGTGCTAAGACTGTGGTTAATTTTTCTTTCTTCTTTTTTTAACTGTTACATTTGTGCAACAAACATAAAAGAAGGGAAAATCTTATCAGAACAACTGGCAAGGAAGTGGAAAACTAGGTAAGTCTTCCTGAAGAACAAAACATGAATTTCAAATACAACAGCCCTCCTATTGGACTTATGGCTCAGATGACTCAACACAGTTTGAAGCAGTAACTCTCATGAGCTCAAAATACTTTTAGCCCTTTTATTCTACCTTCCTCTTTCCCAAAAAACATGCTACTGAAGCTGTTCTTTGGCAGATCTTTCCTAAACAAACCCTGATGAAAGAAATGACAAAGTTCTGAAATACATTAATATGTTTTCTTTCATTTACTATCTACTCTGTGGAGGACACAGGAGAATCCAATAAAAACCCACAATAATCCTCTATCACAGAGTTGTTGCATTAAAACTGCTCTGCCTACTGAAAGTAAGAGTGCAAACTCGTTCAGTCTCTAGGAATCAATAACAAAAAATAATGTTCTTAGAGAACAGAATTCTTAAGTAGGGACTACAAATTTAGGTTTTATTATACAGGGAAGTAGATGGATTACAACTCATAAATTTGGAACCTAGCTTCCTTTTACCTTTAGGAAACAAGATATTGATCAGGTTAGGCAGCAATGATGATAAACAGAAATCACTTCATCTTCAGGAGTCATAAATGTTGCTACACGCCAAATGGTTTAGTTCCTTAGTTGTGGGTTAAAGGTAGACACCTTCCTAGAACATATGTTAAATAGTAAAACTTTTTATCTATACTTTGAAATATGACTGCCTTATTTTAAAACTTCGGAAAAAAACACTTTAAACTATTATAAGAGAGAGCATTTTATGACCACAGAGTTAGAACTTCCCCATCCCCCAGGTAATTTAGATTTATTCTAGACACATAATAACACAGCTCAAAACAACCTTAACAAAAACAGCCAAAACTTCTACTGTCCCCTTTCTCTTCACTCTTGTGACCTAACAACTCAAACTGAACAAAATAATGGGAAGAAAAAAGATCATGAACTGCTAGTCCCAGAATTTTTCATTTCTCTCAAACTTAAAAGTCAACAGTAGCCATAAAAAGGTGATAGAGGGGTTCTATACAAAGTTAAACTGAATGACAGATATAAAAAATAAACTGAAACGTTTAACAATGTTTAAAATGAAATATGCTTATTACATAAAGGACAGACTTAAAATACGTTTAATATCATTTTAACTTCATCCTTATAAAACTAAATTAAAACCAATACTTCAATATATTTTTCCCTATTAAACTCCTAACCATAGTTGACTCCCATTCATTTCCAGTATTCAAATAACGATCTAAGCATAGCTTAGATGGAAATAATCTACTTACATTGGCACAACAGTACACTTCCCAGTATTTTATATTTGAAGAACCATTTTTAAGTAACCTTTTAAGAACTTAAAACACTAACGTTCACATTTTCAACACATTAAGTCTGTGGGTTAGTTTGGTTTTTGGCTTGTTTGTTGGATTTGGGGTAGAGGTAGGGACTAAAACCAAAATACATTATTTCCAGGGCAGACTATATATTATACAAGTCGATTTTCAAATTCCAGATTTGCTTTTTTCAGCAATGCCTTCACCCTGTTAACAAAAGTGGCCTCCTGTATGTTTCTATCAAGTCCATTTATAACACGTTGAACATAGAGGAATGATGATTTCCCACAAGTTGAGTTGGGGTGGGAGTGGGGGACAGGCATCATGTAGAGCTAATAGTAGCACTGTCCCATGGTGTGAGAGTTAAAGTTTCTCGTCTTACTGACACTTTCTCTCAATGCCACCTCCCCAAGCACAGTATGATTTCATTCGTAATTTGGATTTTTAAACCAGAAAGTTATTATGGTCAATCCAAAAATAACCCAAAGAACTTGCTAAAATTATATCAATAAGCAGCTTTCTATTGAAGGACTGAAAGAATTAAATAGAAGGCACAGTAGCACTGTAAAGCTTTTTCAGATCATAGTAATCTTTTTGTATGTATATGTGGAACCCAGACTTTTTTTGTTAAAAATGCTGAACAATCAGAAAATCCTTATTTGTCATCTTTCCCTTTAGTTTTTCTGTATACCATCTCTCGAAAACTGGCCAGAATCTTGTTTTCTCTCTTTCGCCTCTCTTCTTGGTTAAAGGACGCCAGGGCTCTCTTCTCATCAGCACTATAGATCTGGTTCTCTTTCCGCAGTCGTACGGCCTCCATTCGGCGATGCCTGGAGATAATTTTATTTTTTGCTTAATTTCTCAGTAATTATTCTCATAGTACTTCCTCACTAATCCTTCTTAATACAGACTGTTCTATTTAAAAAACTGACAAATAGAAATTGTTTTGGTAATGGGTTGGATTTTCAAAAGATCATTTATTTTATCTAATGTATCCTTTGATTCATTTTCAGCATTCAAATAATGATCTGATGTTCTGTCAACCTCATGAATGTTATTAATTTCAATTACTAAGGGCATAAGTCTAGTTCTGTTGTTTCTACTAAAACAACGAGAAACTAGCAAATTATTAATCTTCCTATGTGATATGTGGCATTAGCCTTTGGGGAATTGACAGTAGGACAGAAGAAAGGCTTAATGTCATCAGTCAGGCAGAACTTCCTCATGGTTCTAACTTGTCATACAACCAAAAGGACCAGGTCTAATACTATAATAGAATTTGATGAGTTTTGTGAGTGGATTTAACTTCCTTAGAATCCAGTAGCAGCTCAAAGAAGAGATTTATCACAAGGGCTAATTCAGGAAAGTATAGGGGGCAGAGAGAAACTATTACATTATCTTCAAAAGGTCTGCTAACTTAGAGGGAAAACTCCATGAAACTCTTTTACGTTTATGTAACCCAATCCTACAAAGTCAGTTCGATATAAGGCTTGACCTATGCCTAGAAAAATAGAGAAAACTGAGTAAGGAAAAGAGGGAGAATCATTTAAGATTAGTGTGAAAGTGGGGGAGCAGCAGGATGGAAAGACAAGGAGATGACAATGTATTTAAGGTTGCTCAAGGCACAGTGAATAGAGTTTATTTGGAACACAAAGTGCTATGTGAACAATGTTGTAAAACATCTATGTACACGTCTCCTAGTACATGGGAAAGATTTTCTCTTGGGTATCTAGGAATGGAGCTGCTGGGACATAAGACTTACGAATGCTCAACTTTCCAAGATGATGTCAGACTGTTTTCCAAACACATTGTACCAATTTATATCACCACTAGCAGTATTTAAGCGATCCTGTAGATCTACACCTTCTCCAATGCTTGGTACTGTTAGAACTCTGAACTTTTGTCTATCAAATAGATGTAAAATGGTATTTCAGCATGTTCTTGATTTCCATTTCCAATGATAATGAACATCTTTTTATGTATGGGTAGGCCACATATTTTTCTTCTAACAAACGCTTGTGTCATTTTCCCATTTTTTGTTCGGACTGTATGTATTCCTTAAATATTCTCAATACTATCAGTTGTAAGATCTTATCCCAGCTTAAAATTTGTCTTTTTACTTATTTTAAGATGTCTTTTGATGAATAAAACTTAGGCAAATTATCACTATTTTATGATTAATACATTTTTTGAGTCTTCCTTAAGAAACCCTTTACTACCCCAAGATCTGTTAGATATCTACTTATATTTTACACTAAGAGTGTTGAAAGTTGTTTTTGAGGACGCCTGGGTGGCTCAGTCGTTAAACGTCTGCCTTCAGCTCAGGTCATGATCCTAGGGTCCTGGGATCGAGCCCCACATCGGGCTCCCCCTTTGGCAGGAAGCCTGCTTCTCTCTCTCCCACTCCCCCTGCTTTGGTTCCTGCTCTCGCTATCTCTCTCTGTCAAATAAAAAAATAAAATCTTTTTTTAAAAAAGTTGTTTTTGACATTTAAGTCCTTATTCTTGCTGCGCTTTTTTCTTAATTAAAAAAAAATTTTTTTAAGTAGGCTCCACACTCAGCATGGGGCTTGAACTCACAACCCTGAGATCTAGAGTTGCATGCTCTAGTGAGCCAGCCAGGCACCCCTAGTTGCACTGATTTTTAAATATGGTGATGCAGGGTTCTACTTTCATCTTCTTCCAAATGGATAACCATTTTTCTCCTGCTCCATTCACTGAATAGGTCCTTCTTTCCCCAATGATCTGACATGCAATCTCTTTCATCTAACTAAGTTTACGCATGTATGGCTCTGCCGGGCTTCATATTTTATCCCACTGAACAATTCATTTGTTCTCCTGTACTTTCTAAAGTTCTATAAGCTTCATAATAAGCCCTCATATTTGGTAGGGCAAATCTCAACTTCCTATTCTTCTTCAAAGGTGACTGGGCTATTCTTGGCCCTCTAGTCTAACATAAATTTTAGAACCATCTTATTGGGGTGCCTGGGTGGCTCAGTCGGTTAAGCATCTGCCTTCGGCTCAGGTCATGCTCCTAGGGTCCTGGGATCAGGCCCTGTGCAGGCTCCCTGCTCAACGGAGAGCCTGCTTCTCTTCCTCCCTTTGCTGCTCCCGCTGCTTGTGCTGTCTCTGTCAAATAAATAAATAAAATCTTAAAAAAAGAGAATAATCTTATTAAGTTTCACATAAACCTCTGCTGTGAGTTTGACTGGAACTACACTGAATATACAGATCAATTTGGGGAGAACTGACAACTTTATATATTGCCTGCCTATGTGAACATGGTATCTCTCCATTTAAGCCTTCTTTAATGTCTTTTTTAAAAGATTTACTTATTTATTTGAGAGAGAGAGAGAGAGAGAGAGAGAGAGGGTGAGTGGGGGAGGGGCAGAGGGAGAGGGAAAGAATCTCAGGCAGACGTCCCATTGAGTGTGGAGCCCAACGCGGGGCTCAATCTCACAACCCTGAGATCATGACCTGACCTGAAACCAAGAGTCAGACGCTTAACCGACTGAACCACCCAGGCAACCCTTTAATGTCTCTTAATGTTTTCTAGTTTTCCCTGTAGAGGTCTTGGACATTTTTTGTTAAGATTTATTCCTAAATCCTTCATATTCTCTGATACTACTATAAATGTTGTTTTCTTTTTATTTAATTACATTCCTGTTTCCTGATATATAGAAATGCAATTGATTTTCATGTATTAACCTTATATCCAACCATTTATTAAGCCCTCCTATTATTCAGAATCATCTGAAGATTCCTTAGGATTTTCTATGTAAAAAAAAAAAATCACATCATTCACAAAAAATGAGTTATATCCTCCTTTCCAATGTTTATGACTCTCATTTCTTTTTGTATTATTGTGCTGGTCCTCTGAATTCTAAGATTCTGGAGGTGATTCAGGGGTTTTGCAAATATCTGCCTCCAACTTTATTTTAAAATATGTACCTACTTTAAAATTTGTAAAGTTTTAAAAAATCCAAAATTCAGTTTGATCTTGGTACTGATGCCCTATTAGTTCACTCTCCTCATTCTTCCTGGTTCTTTGCTTTTTCTTCCACTATTTTATTTTAAGATTTTATTTTTATTTATTTGACAGAGAGAGACACAGCGAGACAGGGAACACAAGCAGGGGGAGTGGGAGAGGGAGAAGCAGGCTTCCCGCGGAGCAGGCAGCCCGATGCGGGGCTCGATCCCAGGACCCTGGGATCATGACCTGAGCCGAAGGCAGACGCTTAACGACTGAGCCACCCAGGCGCCCCATCTTCCACAATTTTATATTCATTTCCCCCTGCTATCATAATCCTTTTCTGCTCTTAATTCTCAGAGTCCACAGAGAATTACAGTCCACATTCTCTGACTCTATAGTTGAAGCAAACTCAGAAAACAGGAAACACTGTCTCATGAAAATGATTTCCTACTACTAGAATGCCACATTCCTCATGGGGCAGTGATAAATAACTGAATTAACTATAGCCTCCAGAAGACAAACTATTGGTACCAAAATACAAACTAGGAAAGGACACTGGAAAGACTGATTCTTTCAAGTTGGAGAGATAGCTGATTTTGAGGCTGAGTTGCACACATACTTGGAATTTTAGACAACCATGTCTATCCCAATAAAAGCAATATTAAACCAAAATTTATACTCTACTTTTCATTAGGTATGATCACTTCATGAAAATCAATTACCAAAATATAATGCTGGTATTGAGAAAAGAAAAGATCTAATCATGGAAACTGACCTCGATGCCAATAACTTACCTGCTACCACTCATTACATAACCCGAGCATTCAAATGATGCGATTTCTTCACTTGTCAAGCCAATTTCACCTCTTCTTGGGATACGTTTCCCTGCTTTTACATATTCAGCCATAGCTGCACCCTCACCAGGTAACAGCGCATGGCCATAGCTACAAAGTAATTCAGAATTCGAAAAGGTTCATTATAAAAAGCTCATCATTATAAAAAGCTCATCATCTAAAGAGAGCACAAAAAGATTTTCTCTCAGAAAACAGCACAAATAACAGTTGCTGAGCAGCAGCATGCTGGGAAGCCCAATGTGAATGACTTTAATTAGTGAACACTGCACTCTGACCTACATAACTAACCCAGCAATACAGAGATGCTTTGGAAGAACAAAAGAACTGATGTTAGTGAGTCTAGATTCATGGTTTACAATTATGGATCATTTATCCCTACAGGCAGCACCTTTATGGCTCCTGCCTCCGGTGAATTCCTTTCCCCTTTTCCCTTTCAAGAAAAAAAAAAGAGAGAAATAATATATCTCAAATTAACATAATTTTTAGACTTATAACTGGTAATGCTATACAGTAACAATTACATATTAACTTTCATTTGAGAGGACTTTAAAAACTATCATCCCTTCATTCAACTCACTGACTGCGTCTTGAAATCCTATTAAACTCAAAGCTTATAATACAAAAATAATCTCTGTTCTTATGGAATTTATATACTGATGGGGACATAACTGCAATACAATGTAGAACATATAAAACACTGCACAAAAGAAACCGAAAATACTGTGAGGACTAGAGGATTAAAGAGGGGTAGGAATCCCATCTACTTGTGGAGGGAAGGTCCTGGGAATCAGCACATGACCCCTCCTTTTGAAAAGAGCTTTGAAAGATAGTAAGGATTTTAACAGGAAGAAATTGGGAGTAATGAAGAAACAAGGGCAGGGAAAAGAAGTGAAGGCATGTTGGGGGAAGACATAAGGTGAACAAGGCATGACGTAGGAAAGTGCACAGTAAATACAGGGAAGTTTTAGTTCGGCTCACTTGGAACCTGGCATGTAAATAAGGACATAGAGGGAGATATAGTTGGAAAGGCAAGTTAGGGCTGTACCTTAGATATTTAAAATATACTGTTACTTACTTCAAAGGTTTATCATCCTGAGAGGCAAGTGTTTTTGGAGCCTCTGGGCCAATTAAATCTGAGGGTTCTTCAGGCTCTGCAGGAAAGATGTTCAGAAACAGATTCACATTTTGACTAATCATTTAATGTTTTATCTGTTCTGAGTCAAAGTCTACCAGAAGAACCTACTTGATCGATCCTTCCAGGGATTCTCCAGAAACTCTTCCTGGGAATCTTTAGAGCTTGAATCACTGGAATCTTTTCTACTCTTCTTAGACTTCTTTTTCTTGTATTTCTTCCTGTAATTATAATTTGATACAAATACACTTAATAGTCCCACATTAAAGGGAATCTCACTTTTTAAGGCAATGAAAGACTGATGAAAATGATTTAAGTTCTAAGCTGATTAAAATTTTTAGAGCAGAATTTTAATTAAAAGATCTTTTAACTTATTTAACCAAATCATGTTTCACTATAAAAAAGATCCCTCAAGGGGACAACAAAATACAGTTCTCATGTTGCAAAAAGATAATAAAGCAGTTTAAAAAACAGCTCTTGGGGCGCCTGGGTGGCTCAGTTGGTTAAGCGTCTGCCTTCGGCTCAGGTCATGATCCTAGGGTCTTGCGATCGTGCCCCACGTTGGGCTCCCTGCTCAGCAGAGAGCCTGCTTCTCCCTCTCCCTCTGCCTGCCTCTCTGTCTACTTGTGCTCTATCTCTCTGTCAAATAAATAAAATCTTTTAAAAAAAATAAAAATAAAAAACAGCTCTTACCAATTTGAGCATCAATAATTTAAAGTGTAATGGATTAAAATACATCAAACATGTTTGAATCCTTGGGTTCATAATGATACTAAAAAAAGTCCAACTCATTACTTTGAAAACTCATAAAACAAAAAAAGTTAAAAAAAATAACCTGCCTTTCCTGTACAAACTGTACTTCAGAGTAAACAAACAGTTGATGAGGGTAGGTTTCTCTTATAGAATTATCCTACCTAATAAATGAAGAAAGCAAGCCAGAAAAAAAAAAAAGCCAGAATGAGACTATCACCACTTTGCAATCCTTAATGAAACAAAGGATCTAGGGAATGACCGTCCATGGCTATTAATATGACAAAAGGAGACAACCAGACATTATCTGCCTCCTGACGAAGTACACAGCACCACCTATGAAGTATGTGTGCCAAAGACTCAAATCTGTACCTCACCAAGTCTCCGGACCTTACTATCAATATGTAAGAAATAGAGAAAGACAAAGAACATGTTAAAAGCACACCATAAAAATATAGTCAGCGGCGTCTGGCTGGCTCAAACAGTGCAGCATGTGACTCTTGATCTTGGGGTCCTGAGTTCAACCCCCACATTAGGTGTAGAGATTACTTAAAAATAAAATCTTTAAAAATAAAGAAATTAAAGGGTGCCTGGGTGGCTCAGTCATTAGGCGTCTGCCTTCAGCTCGGATCGTGATCCCAGAGTCCTGGGATCGAGCCCCGCATCGGGCTCCCTGCTCCGCGGGAAGCCTGCTTCTCCCTCTCCCACTCCCCCTGCTTGTGTTCCCTCTCTCGCTGTGTCTCTCTCTGTCAAATAGATAAAATCTTTAAAAAAATAAAAAATAAAAAAAATAAATTAAAAAATTAAATATAATTAGCAAAATCTATACTGCAGGAAACTCTACAGGTAAATGATTTGGTTTCTTTAACAAAAATATCGCAAGAACAAAAAGGGAAGGGGAACGAACTAATTTAAAGAGATACAAGGGACATATCAACCAATCACAATTTATGGGCATTATTTGGATCCAGATTTAAATAAACTACATAAAAACCTGCTGAGAATTGAGGAATTATTGCTAAATATATTAGGCATGATAACACTACTGTGGTTATGATTTTTATAAAGGAATGCCTATCTTTTAGAGAAACATGCTGGTTTATGGACAAAATGATATCTGGGATTGGTTTTGAAATAATGGGGGGGGGGCAGTGAAGATTGTCCAAGAGTTGAAATTATTAAGCTGGGTGATGGTTACATGGGGGATCATTACACTATTTTATTTATCATTATTTCTTAATTACTTTATTTTATGTAATTTAAGATAAAAATTAGAAAGAAAACTGACGATCTATGTTTCTTCTTCTTTTCCTTTTTCTTGGCTTTCTTCGCTCTTCTTTTTGTATCTTCATCTGCAAATTAAAGCACATTTTAATTAAAAACAAAATTAAACTCTAAAAGCCCAGTAACTGAGTAAATATCCTATTGCCCTATTTGTTGTTACAGAGAAATTAATTAACTCAAACATTTATTGCTCCTCATCAGGATATGTACTAGGCTCCAGGGACACAGAAATTAAAGTTATACTAAGTCTTCAGTGAAGCAGAGTATTATTATTAATTTTATTGGGTGAAATCATAGGAGTAAGTAGGAAAATGTCCTTGTTTTTTAGAGATCTATACAGAAATCTTTAGGGTGGCAGTATGATATTTCTAATTTACTTTGAATATCTCAGCAAAAAAAATGGTATTTAAAGCAACTGTCAAGGGACGCCTGGGTGGCTCAGTCAGTTAAGCGTCTGCCTTTGGCTTGGGTCATGATCTCAGGGTCCTGGGATCCAGTCCCACGTGGGGCTCCCTGCTCAGCGGGGAGTCTGCTCCTCCCTCTGCCTGCTGCTCCCCCTGCTTGTGTGTGCTCTCTCTCTTGCCCTTGCTCTCTTTCTAGCAAATAAAATCTTTAAAGCAACTGTCAAAATACTAAAAATTGTTAAAACCTAAATGATATATATAGTATTATACTATTCTCCTTACTTTCTAACGTTTGAGTATTTTCACGAAGAAAAAAGAAAAAAACGCTATGTGTTTGGGGCCAGGGACATGCTTTCTAGGAGCTCAGTCTAATGGAGGAGACAGAGGTAAAGAGATAAACAGAATTTGGAGTGATACAGGGAAGCATGGGGTGCTCTGGGCATACAGAGAAGTCTCATTATCAGGATGGTTTGGGGAGGGTGGTTAAGGAATGGTGACTCTTAAGCTAGTTCTTTTTTAAGATTTATTTATTTATGGGCGCCTGGGTGGCTCAGTTGGTTAAGCGACTGCCTTCGGCTCAGGTCATGATCCTGGAGTCCCGGGATCGAGTCCCACATCGGGCTCCCTGCTCGGCAGGGAGTCTGCTTCTCCCTCTGACCCTCTTCCCTCTCGTGCTCTCTATCTCTCATTCTCTCTCTCTCAAATAAATAAAATAAATAAAATCTTTAAAAAAAAAAAAAGATTTATTTATTTGCGGGAGAGAGAGCAAGCAAGCATGAGCGGTGCGGGGGAAGGGCAGAGGGAGAGGGAGAATCAGACTCCCGGCTGAGCAGGGAGCCCAACTGGGGCTTGATCCCAGGACCCTGGGATCATAACCTGAGCCAAAGGCAGACGCTTAACTGACTGAGCCACCCAGGTGTCCCAAGCTAGTTCTTTTTAAAAATCAGTTTTATTACAAAAGTACTGCATGCCCATTGTTGAAGTGAGTAAGCCAAGCCGCATGCAGGGAGAGATGGGCATTGTAGGCAGATGGACTCTCTGTATCAAGTAACAGAAGCAAGAGAAAGAACATGGAATACTGAGGAGACAGTAGTTCTTTGGTTACAGAGGATGCTGCAAGAGTGACAGGGCATGTGTGGTTAGAGAGGGATCAATCAGGGTCCAAACTTTACCCTGAAGGCTACAGAGAGCTTCTGAAGGATTTTTAAGTAGGGGACAGATGTGCTCACGTTTGTGCTCTAAGAAAGTTCACTCAGGGGCACCTGGGTGGCTCAGTCGGTTAAGCGTCTGACTCTTCATTTCAACTCAGGTCATGATCTCATGGGTTGTGGGATCAGCCCTGTTTCAGGCTCCATGCTCAGTGGGGAGTCAACTTGAGATTCTCTTTGTCTGTCCCTCCCCCCACTTGCACACCTGCACTCTATCTCTCTGAAATGAAATAAAAAAAACGGTAGTTCACTCTTCCACAGTGAGGAAGAAAAGTGACAACAGGAGCCAGGAAACCCAGGTGACATCAGAGGAAAAGACACCTTTATGTAACGTGTCCCCAGAAGTGGCACCTTCTGTCAACCATCAGCCAGGAGAAGGCACAAAAAAGTGGCTTTCTGTGAGGCACCACCCCACGGGGGGTGTCTTCCCTAATCAGCTGCCAGCCTGAAGGGGGTCCGTCGTGGCGTGCCTTTTTGAAAGTGGCACAGAGGTGCCCACTGAGTGTGGGAATGACACAAGAGAGCTGCCCCCCGGGGCTGCTGCAGCCCTGTACGGCCCGACCCCACCTCGGTTCGCTGCCGCGTGCCTCGTACGGCTAGACACCGCCCACCTGGGGTCACGCCGCTCGGGTCTGAATCTCAGCTGTGTGAGCCTGAGTGCGGTATCGCAACCTGCTCTGCGCCCCAATCCCCCAGCGCTAACATGTGGTCTGGAGTCACGTGTGGATTAAACAGCACTGACGAACACTGAGCACTTAGCACGGTGCCCAGCACAAAGTCAGCGAGTGCTCAACGACTCTTGGCTACCATTCTTGTGGTTTAACCTTCCTCTGAAATCAGTTTTACGAAGTAAAATGAGTTCTGAAGCCAGGCTTGCAGAGTGATGCTGGCCTTCTTACCGCTGGAGTCTGAGTCACAGTCAGAGTCACTGTCGCTGTCATCAGAATACTTCTTGTGTTTTCTTTTAGAGGATTTTTTCTTTCTCTTTTTCTTGGACCTTTCTTTCGAACGACTAGACTTCCTCTTCTTCTTCTTCTTCTCTTCTACATAAAGTACAAATATAAAATTAACTTCTAACAAGTATTACGATCATCAATTTTATTGTATTTGAAATACTGAAAAAGAACAGATGACGGGCAACTTGAGTACAAGCGAAGTCTATTGTTCGACTATTTAGAAACATTTTTTTCAACTTCTCAATACAGCAGCTCTGTAGTATTTAAAAAAATACCTTCTGAAGTAGAAGCTGAAGTGGTGCTTTTCTTTGGCTCATCATCCTCTACTGGTGTGTGTTCGTCAGAGCTGAATTTAAAGAAGATGGTTGTAAGAATGAGAAAAGTCATAAAATGTGAATCATGGAGTATAAAAATATAGAATCAAAAAATTTCAGTAATGACACCAATTGTCCAACAACAATTAAGAGCAAACACTGGAATAACTTTGTAAGGGTATAGTTCGAGGGTCTACCACCTTCAAAATAATATAATAATCATTTACATTTGCATAATGCTTTAGAGTTTACAAAACACTATTCAAACTAAAAGCAATGGGTAAATTTTCAGAAGAAGCCACAGGGTAAATGTATGGAACCATAAGGAAAGATGGAAAAAACAAGAGGGACGCCTGGGTGGCTCAGATGGTTGAGCGTCTGCCTTAGGCTTGGGTCGTGGTCCTGGGGCGCTAGGATCGAGCCCCGCATCAGGCTCCTGGCTCAGCAGGGAGTCTGCTGCTCCTTCTCCCTCTGCCTCTCCCACTGCTCATGCTCTCTCTCTCTCTGATCTCTGTCTCAAATGAATAAAAAATCTTAAAAAAAAAGAAAAGAAAAAACAAGAGATAAGAAGACCAAAGGAAGACTTCACTTTATTCTATGTGTATAAAGGACATATGGTAGAGCAGCAACCATTCTGTCCCCAGAGCAAGAAGAACCAAAAACACTACCATATAAAGAGATTTCTTTCTATTATAGATAATTCTGAAAATGAGTACTATTAAAATTCTATAATAGTTTAGAAGAGGATGGGGTGGCTGGGTGGCTCAGTCAGTTGAACGGCTGACTCTTGGTTTTGGCTCAGGTCATGATCTCAGAGTCCTGGGATTGAGCCCTACATCCAGCTCCATGCTCAGCAGTGAGTCTGCTCCCTCTCCCTCTGCCCCTCCCACTTGCTCTCTCTCTTAAAATAAATAAATCTTTGGGGTGCCTGGGTGGTTCAGTCAGTTGGGTGCCTGCCTTTGGCTCAGGTCATGATCCTGGGGTCCTGGGATTGAGCCCCGCACTGGGCTCTCACTCTGCGGGGACCCTGCTTCTCTCTCTCTCTCTCTCCCATGGATAAATAAATAAAATCTTTAAAGAATGTATTAAAAAATAAATAAATCTTTAAAAAATAGTTTAGAAGAGGAATCTTCATATCATATAATCTTTTAATCTGAAGACAACATCTGGAGTAATTTAGGTATTGCCTAGAAAATTATTTGTAGTGTTCCTTCCAGCTCATTCTTTCAGTTCAGATTCTTTGATCATTTTCAAAGATATCTATAAGAACAAGTTTCAAATAATAATTCTATCACCCTGTCACAAAACACAAGTATATCTGTCAAGCACATTGTTTCAACTCAAAGTAGACTTAGAAAAGAGGGAAGAAGAACCTTATGCACAGCACCAAAGGAAAAAAAATAAGAAAAAAAATAATTAGGGCTTCAGATACTATTTAATACAAGAAAACTAACTAGGAGCACCTGGCTGCCTCAGTTGGTGGAGCATGAGACTCTTGCTCTTGGGGTTGTAAGTCTGAGCCCCATGTTGGGTGTAAAGATTACTTAAAAATAAAATATAAAAAGAAAATAAACAAAACTGTATTGGTATATTCATTTTAAAAAAAAAAAATCCCTTTGGGAACAGAATAAAGAGCCCAAAATAAACCTATGCATATACAGGAAATTGAGCTATGACAAAGGAGTAAAGAAAAAAAGAGGAGTAAAGAATATACCCAGGCGCCCCCTGTTACCTTTGTTTTTAATGGGAAATCTAAAAACCAGGGCACCTGGGGGGCTCAGTTAGTTAAGCATCTGCCTTCGGCTCAGGTTGTGATCCCGGGGTCCTGGGATCAAGCCCCACATCGGGCTCCTTGCTTGGCAGGGAGCTGCTTCTCCCTCTCCCTCTGCCTGCAGCTCCCCCTCCTTGTGCTCTCTTTCTCGTTATCTCTATCTCTCTGTCAAATAAAGTCTTTAAAAAAAAAAAACAAAGGTAACAGGGGCACACGGATGCCTCAGTCAGTTAAGCATCCGACTCTTGATTTTGGCTCAGGTCATGATCTCAGAGTCGTGAGACGGAGTCTGCTTCGAGCTCTGCGCTGAATGTGAAGCCTACTTAATACTTAAGATTCTCTCTCCTCCTCTGCAGCCCTCAACCTCCCCCTCACGCACCATGCTCTCTCTCTCTCGCTCAAAAAAAAAAAAAAAAAAGGCAAAGGATCTGAATAGACATTTTCCAAAGACATATAAATGGGTAACCACTATATGAAAAACATGTTCAGTATCACTAATCATCAGGGAAATGTAAATCAAAATCAAAAAGAGATAATAACTCACCTGTTAGAATGGCCATTCTCGAAAAGACAAGAAATAACAAGTGGTGGTGAAGATGTGGAGGAAAGGGAACCCGTGCACACTGTAGGTGGGAATGTAAATTGGTATAGCCACTATGGAAAACTGTATGGAGGTTCCTTAAAAATTAAAAATGTAACTACCGGGGCACCTGGGTGGCTCAGTCGGTTGAGCAGCTGCCTTCAGCTCAGGTCATGATCGCAGGGTCCTAGGATTGAGCCCCACTTCGGGCTCCCTGCTCAGCAGGGAGTCGGCTTCTCCCTCTCCCTCTGCCTGCCTCTCTGCCTGCTTGTACTCTCTCTCTCTCTGTCAAATAAATAAAATCTTTAAAAAAATATATATAACTACCATATGATTCAGCAATTCCACCTCTGGGTATTTACCCAAAGAAAACAAAAACACTAACTTGAAGATGTATGCACTCCCATGTTCACTGCAACATTATTTACAATAGCCAAGATACGGAAACAACCCAAGTGTCTATGGAGGGATGAAGAGATGAAGAAAATGTAGTATAGGAGAGGGTATCAACATGGTGGAGTAGGAAAATCCTGAGCTCACCTCCTTCCATAGACACACCAAAATCTACAACTACATATAGAACAACTATCTCGGAGAATGAACTGAAGAGTACCAGAACAGATCATATGTAACTAAGGATATAAAGAAAAAGCCACAATGAGAAGGGTAGGAGGGGCAGAGACACAGTCTAGTCAGGACCCACACCCTCGGCATGGTGACCAACAGCAGAAGGGATATCATAACTGTAGAGTCCCTCACTGAGAAATAAGAGATCTGCGTTCCACATCAGCCTCCATAGCCTGAGGGACCTGTACCAAAAAGACAAGCACCCATAATGCCTGGCATTGAAAACAAGTGGGGCCTATGTCCGGGAGAGCCAGAGGGCAGTGGGAAATTGAGACTTCCCTCTTAAAGGGCACACCAGTGCAGAGGCATTAGTTTGAAAAATACCTAGGTTAGAGGTGAAGGAGATCCAAGGAGACTAAGTTTAGGGTGTGTCGAAGGGGCAGGGATCTGTCTGAACATTCTTCAGGGAAAGAAGCACTGGCAGGCCCCATTTTCTTTTTACTTCCTTTACATCTAGCTGGTCCGGTGCTGGCAGGTGCCATTTCTGACACTCTCCATCTACTGTGCTAGCACTACTTGCATAGACTCACCCCACCCAACCTGTCCACCCTGGCCTGGCACTCCTCTCTAGCAGCTCCCTACCCACCATACCTAGCAGGCATCCTTGGCCAGGACCAGCACACCTTCCACCCAAGGGCTCCTGCCCTGGAGGCCCAGTTCTATACACTAGAGTGTCTGCATCAGTGGCAGCTGGACTTTGCAGCCAGCTGCACCAAAAGCCTGCCCTACTCATCAGTGCTCACGCAGCTCACAACCAGGCCTTAGAGCCAGCTGTGCCAAGGGCCAACCCCACACACCAGCATGCTCACACCAGCTGCAACCAGGCCTGTCAGACAGAGGGAGAAGCAGTCTCCCTGCTGAGATATGTGATCAAGACACATTATAATCAGAGTGTCAAGAGTTAGAGATAAACAATCTTAAAAGCAGCAAAAGGAAAACAACTAGTTACATACCAAGGGACCCTAATAAGCTAGTTTTTCAGCAGAAACTTTATAGGTCAGAAGAGAACAGCATGATATATGTGAAGTGCTAAAAGGAAAAAAACTCACAACCAAGACCACTCTACCCAGCAAGGTTATCACTCAGAAGTGAAGGAGAAACAAGGAGTTTCTCAGACAAGCATAAGCTAAAGGAGGTCATCAATACCAAACCAGCCTTACAAGAAATGTTTAGGGGACTTAATTTTAAGTAGAAAAGAAAAATCATAACTACAAGTAAGAAAATTATGAAAGGAGGGGTGCTTGGCTGGCTCAGTCAGTGGAGCATATGACTCTTGCTCTTGGGGTTGTGAGTTGGAGCTCCATGTTGGGTGTAGAGATTACTTATAATAAAATCGTTAAAAAAAAAAAGGAAAATTATGAAAGGAAAAATCTCATTGGTAAATGTAAACATACAGTAAAGGTAGTGGATCAACCACCTACATAGCTAGTATGAAGGTTAAAAGACAAAAGCAATAAAATCAGTTAGACCCACAATAATTAGTCAATGGAAACATAAAATAATAGTATGTAAAATATGTCAAAAACATCATGGGGGATGATGTAGTGCTTTTGGAATGCATCTGAACTTAAGTGGGCATTAACTTAAAATGGATTGCTATATACATAAGATGTTATATATGAACCTCATGGTAACCACTGACCAAATACCTATAATAGAAAAACAAAAAATAAAAGAAAACAAACATAACACTAAGGAAAGTCACCAAATTTCAAGGTAAGAGAGCAAGAGAAGAACTACAAAAACAATCAGAAAGGGATGCCTGGGTGGCTCAGTTGGTTAAGTGTCTGCCTCAGGCTCAGGTCATGATCCCAGCCTGGGATCAAGTCCCACATCTGGCTCCTTGCTCAGCAGGGAGACTGCTTCTCCCTCTGCCTACCACTCCCCCTGCTTGTGCACTCTCTCTCTCTGACAAATAAATAAAATCTTTAAAAAAAGAAATCCACAAAATGGCAACAAGTCCATACCTATCAATACTTTTTTTAATCAATAATTACTTTAGGGGCACCTGGGTGGCTCAGTCGTTAAGCGTCTGCCTTCGGCTCAGGTCATGATCCCAGGGTCCTGGGATCGAGTTCCGCATCGGGCTCCCTGCTTGGCAGGAAGCCTGCTTCTCCCTCTCCCACTCCCCCTGCTTGTGTTCCCTCTCCCTCTCTGTGTCTCTTTCTGTCAAATAAATAAATAAATCTTTAAAAAAAATTACTTTAAATGTAAACTTACTAAGTGCTCCAATCAAAACACACACAGTAGCTGAACAGATTTAAAAAAACAATACCCATCTATATGCTGCCTACAAGAGACTCACTTCAGATCTAAAGACACAGAGACTGAAACTGAAGGGATGGAAAAAGATATTCCATGCAAATGAAAACAAACAAAAAGCTGGGGTAGCAATACTTATATCATACAAAACAGACTAGAAAACAAAGCCTGTAACAAGACACAAAGGACATTACATATGATAAAGGGATCAATCCAACAAGAGGATATAACATTTGTAAATACCTATGCACCCAATACAGGAGCACCTTAATATATAAACCAAGTATTAACAGACATAAAGGGAGAAATTGACAGTAATACAATAATAGTAAGAGACCTTAACACCCCACTTACATGAATGGATCAATCATTCAGACAGAAAATCAATAAGGAAACAGTGGCCTTGACCAACAGACTAGACCAGATGGACTTAACAGATATATACAGAACATTCTATCCAAAAACAGCAGAATACACATTCTTTTCAAGTGCACATGGAATATTCTCCAGGACTGATCCCATGTTAGGTCACAAGACAAGTTTTGATAAATTTAAGACTGAAATCGTATCAAGCATCTTTTCAGACCACAACAGTATGAAACTAGAAATCAATTACAAGAAAACTGGAAAAACACAAACACATAAAGGCAAAACAACATGGAATTAAACAACCAATGGGTCGGGGTGCCTGGGTGGCACAGTCGGTTAAGTGTCTGACTCTTGGTTTCAACTCAGGTTGTGATCTCAGGGTCGTGAGATCGAGCCCCATGTCAGGCTCTGTGCTCAGTGTGGAGTCTGCTTGAGATTCTCTCTCCCTCTCCCTCTGACCCTCCCATTTGTGCACGTGTGCTCTCTCTCAAATAAATAAATCTTTAAAAATCAATAAATAAAGGGGTGCCTGGGTGGCTCAGTCGTTAAGCGTCTGCCTTCAGCTCGGGTCATGATCTCAGGGTCCTGGGATCGAGCCCCGCATTGGGATCCCTGCTTGGTGGGAAGCCTGGTTCTCCCTCTCCCACTCCCCCTGCTTGTGTTCCGTCTCTCACTGTGTCTCTCTCTGTCAAATAAATAAATAAAATCTTTAAAATAAATAAATAACCAACCAACCAACCAACGGGTCAATGAAGAAATCAAAGAGGAAGTCAAAAATTACCCTGAGACAAATGAAAATGGAAACACAACAGTACAAAATCCATGAAATGCAGCAAAAGAAGTTCTACGAGGGAAGTTTTATACAGGCCCAACTCAAGAACCAAGAAAAATCTCAAATAAACAATCTAATCTTACACCTAAAGGAACTAGAAAAAGAACAAAGCCCAAAGTTAATAGAAGGAATAATAAAGATCAGAGTGAAAAATAAATGAAAGAGACTAAAAAAACAGAAAAGATCAATGAAACGAAGAGTTGGTTCTTTGACAAGATAAAATTGATAACCTTTAGCCAGATTCATCAAGAAAAAAAGAGAGAGTGCCCATATAAATAAAATCAGAAATGAAAGGGGATAAGTTACACCCAATACTACAGAAATAGAAAAAAATCATGAGACTATTAAGAACAATTATGTGCCAACAAACAACTGAGAAGAAATAGATAAATCGTCTAAATCAGGAAGATTACAACAGACTGATTACTACTAATGAAATTGACTCAGTAATCAAAAAACTCCCAACAAAAGAAACTCCAGGACCAGATGGTTTCACAGGTAAATTCTACCAAATATTTAATGAATTAAGACCTATACTTCTTAAACAATTCCAAAAAACTGAAGAAAGAACAGACTCACTCTATGAGGCCAGCATTGTCCTGATACCAAAACCAAAGACACCACAAATAAAAAAGTTACAAGCCAGTATCCCTGATGTATGTAGATGCAAAAATCTGCAACAAAATATTGGCAAACCAAATTTTATACTACATTAAAAAGATCATACACCATTCTAAAGTCAAAATTACTCCAGAAATGCAAGGATAATTCAATATCCACAAATCAATCAACGTGGATATACCACATTAACAAAATAAAGGATAAAAATCCTATGATCATCTCAATAGATGCAGAAACAGCATCTGACAAAAACTCAACATCCAAATAAGATACAAACTCTCAACAAAGTGAATATAGAGAAAACATACCTCAACTTAAGAAAGGCCAGATATGACGAACCCACAGCTAACATCACACTCAACAGTAAAAAGCTGAAAGCTTCACCCTAAGATCAGGAACAAGACAAGGATGCCCATTCTCACCACTTTTATTCAACATAACACTGAAGTCCTAGCCAAAGACAAGAAAAATAAAAGGCATCCAAATTGGTAACGAAGAAGTAAAACTGGGGCACCTGGGTAGCTCAGTTGGTTAAGCGACTGCCTTCAGCTCAGGTCATGATCCTGGAGTCCCAGGATGAAGTCCCGGGATCGAGTCCCGCATCGGGCTCCCTGCTCAGCAGGGAGTCTCCTTCTCCCTCTGACCCTCCCCCCTCTCATGTGCTCTCTCTCTCTCTCATTCTCTCTCAAATAAATAAAATCTTTAAAAAATATAAGAAGTAAAACTGTCACTATTTGCCAATATATATAAGAAAACCCTACTCTACCATCCATGTTGTTTGTCAATTGTACCTCAAAAAAAAAATCCCTTTGTAAGGCTAACACCTGACACTCAATCTGCTATTAGGCTGAGAAAAAACAATTCAAAATAATATAAATATATTTGTCTTAATACTGAACCCTTCTATGAATAGGAAATTAGCACTCCCATGAATTACAATTTAAGAACAATTAACGGGCGCCTGGGTGGCTCAGTCGGTTAAGTGGCTGCCTTCAGGTCAGGTCAGGATCCCAGGGTCCTGGGATCGAGCCCTGAGTCGGGCTCCCTGCTCAGCGGGGAGCCTGCTTCTCCCTCTCCCTGCCGCTCTGCCTACTTGTGCTCTCCACCTCTCTGTCAAATAAATAAATAAAATCTTTAAAAATAAATTAAAAAAAGAACACTTAATATGTTAAAATCCACTAGCAACATGTTTTGTTATGTATGTTCAATGGTTTTAAATTCTAAGGGGTAGAATAGCATAAATCACAAAAAAGGAGAAAAAACATGAGCTGTACTTAAAAGTTCTTCATTTAACAAAAATTTTGACAAGTCTCTGGATTTAAACAAATGTTACATTTTTTAAAAGTATTTTTTAATCACTTACTCTGGTTCTGGATTCTTTGGAGAAAGTCCCCATACTTCAGGAGCTCCCAATTCTCCAATCCTCTCTCTCTCACTTAATCTCCTAGAAGATATAGGCATATAAATTATAACTCCATGGCTAAATTGTCTCCTAAATACATAATCAATTCAAAGGAGGCCAGTTAAGTCCTATTTTCCTATTTTAAAAGTTAAATTAATAAATTAAGTATACTCATTATAATTTGATGTTCTTGATAGTACTATCAAATGGTACAGCCTACAGACAGCCTGAGGCCAGGCCAGAAATACAGCCTCAAAGGCTATCAAGTACATCTCTTCTGCCTCTTGCATGACATAGCTCCTAATTGCTCATTTCGTCTTCTGCAATATGTGACACAAATAGTTTTATATTTGGAAATAACTTGTTTATACACGTTTATGAGAGTAAAGAGCAGTCTCTACTTTTGATTTAGTCAAACCCGTTTTCAGAAACTTAGGAATTAATGAAGAAAATTAAAATGAAGCATTAGAAATAGAAAATAGAGAGCTCTGAAAATGAAAGAAAAGTTTTATTTGACAAAAACTGTCCTCAATGAGATACAGGGTTTGTTTTCTCCCTTTTCCCTTTAGTTCCTTTTTGGAAAAGGACTATATTCCCTATCTACTCTTGCAGGACACGAAAAATTTATGTTTGTGATTTTTTTCTTTTAATTTTGCTCACAAAATACAAAAAAAACGAAGGCTCAATTCCTCAAAGTTTAGCTGCTTGTGATTCCATTTGTTAAAAACACACACACACCCCAAACCCTTACAAAATAAACTGGTTTGATTGCTTGAATATACTGTTTTTTACTTCTTTATTCAGGAGAAAAGGTATTATAATCATGCAGAATTAGACTCAGGTTTCCCACTTGAAGAAAGTGCCTAAAAGGATTATACTTATAACCCAACTTCTAATATATATGCAGGGGGAAGTATGACAGGCCGTAAGAACAGTCAAGTTCTCATCCCTGCTGCCCCCAGCTTCATCTGTACTCTTAAGATAAACTATTCATCGGGCGCCTGGGTGGCTCAGATGGTTAAGGGTCTGCCTTCGGCTCAGGTCACGATCCCGGGGTTCTGGGATCGAGTCCCGCATCGGGCTCCCTGCTCCTTGGGAGCCTGCTTCTCCCTCTGCTTCTCTCTCTCTCTCTCCCTCCCTCTGTCTCTCATGAATAAATAGATAAAATCTTAAAAAAATATATTTAAAAAAAAAAAGATAAACTATTCATCTTCTAAATGTACAAATGCAAATCTCATCCAAGAAGTTCTGACATCTTTTGATGAGGATTGTCCAGTAGGAAGTTGGCTGCTTTTTGACTAACACAGCCAGGAGGTAACTCTGAAAAATTTAATTTGGAGAGGTAGGTCTCCAACCTAACTCCGTACTGTTTTTATTGTTTCTGCTTCCATTCAGGAAATCCTAGTAGCTAACACTCAAGGACTATTTATTATGTTCCAGGAACTAAAATCATCACAACTCTAAAAGCCTTGGCGCCAATTTTATCCCTCTTTAAATGGTTAGAAATGAAGCTCAGAGAAGTTCAGAAACTTGCTCAAGGTCACACAACTATAACACTGCAAAGCATGGCTTCAAATTCAGGCATTTGGATTCTGGAGCCTTTCCTCTTCATTGCTATCCTTTATTACTTCCCATTCTTGGAAGAAGAAGATTTATGGAGACATCTCCCAGCTTTGGAATCTTAACCTGCCCCTCAATGCCTGTGATACTCTTAAATTTCTTTTTTAACACAGCGCACATGTAGGGGCGCCTGGGTGGCTCAGTTGGTTAAGCGTCTGCCTTGGGCTGGGGTCTTGATCCCAGGGGTCATGATCCCACATGAGGTTCCCTGCTCAGCGGGGAGCCTGCTTCTCCCTCTCCCTCTGCCTGCCGCTCCCCCTGCTTGTGCTGTCAAATAAATAAATAAAATCTTAAAGAAAAAAAACACACAGAGGACATGTAAAGCACCTGGTACAGTGCCTGACAGAATTTAACACTCAATAAGCATTAGATTTTAAAACTTACAGGACAATAATTATAACCCTTTTCCTTTCTCCGTCTTCAACTATCCACTTTCCCACTCCAACACTCACTCATGAGAGGGCACCCGATCTCACCCCTGACCTCGTTTTTCACGGTCAAATTGAGACCATTTAACAAGACCTTTTTCAACGGAGCTTAATCACCAGTTTAGCAGGTCACTTTTCCCACAGTCAATCATCTGGGCTCAGAGGGTTTTTTCCCCTCGGATTTAAACTCTTCCTCTCGACATTTCCACCGTACACATCCTGTCACCTCAAACCTGACTGATCATTCAGCAAGCAGTGGTGGTACGCCTACCAAGTGCTAGGCACTGCTAATCTTGTGATCAATAAAACAGGTCTCTTCTTTGCCACGAGCTCAATCGAGTGCGAAATGAAAGCACGCTTCCAAATAATAAAGACACGACCAAGCGAATACTGTAATTCGGGGAGGTCTGGGGCTCCCGACAGAACCGCTCCAAGCCAGGAGGCAGAAGAAGTAGCGGAGACACCAGAGCGCGGTACGAAGGGGCCCGAGGATGAGTGACAACCCAAGGGAAGAGAGGGGCGGAAAAAGGCAGAGAGCGAAAAGCGCAAAGTCAGACTCCAAAGTCGGGTGGGCTCCCGCAAGAGAAGGTGTGCCCGTCTCACTCACTTCTGCCGCAGGCTCTCCTCCCTCTCCTTGTCCAGAAGGCTAGGCCACGGCTTGTCGCTCCCGTAGGGGCGCGAGTAGCCGCCATAATACGCGGTCGAGGAGGCTGAAGCGAAGGGGTTGCCCCGCGGCGCAGAGGGCCGCTCCCGGGAGCGTGACCGCGAGCGGGATCGGTAGGACTGGTTTCGGGACCCCTGACTGAAGCCGCCCGGCTGATGGCTGACACCATTCCGAGAGCAAGAGTGCGAGCGAGAGCTCGAGCGCGAGCGACGGCCCCGCGGGGAGCGGGCGGATCTGCTGGGCTTAGGGCTTCTCGACGAACTGCGACGCTTCCCCCCGGAGCCCGAGGCCTCCCCCTCAGGGCTGCGCGAACCCGACACCGGAGCCATCGCGGCCGCTGGGTCCCCCAGGTAGCTAGAGAAGGGGGCGCTCTCGCGAGCCTCGGAAGATCTCGGTTGGTTCGGGTCCCAAACCCGCCGTCGCGCCACCGCCCGAACCCGAGGAAACCTTGGAAACAGTTCCGGGTACGTCGGCAAATCCCTTCCCCCGACCTAGGTGGTCCTGCCCACGGGACGGGGATGTGTGTATCGGTATAAAGAAGTCCGTGGGGCAACCGGATCCACTCATCCTTCGGGTCCCGAGTGAGGCTCCTCAAATCTAAACTGGACTAGAGAGCGTGTCCTTTCTTTAGCATCGAGTTGAAATAACTGAGGGGAAGGGCGATAGGCCCCAGGGACATTTCACTGAGCGGCCGTGTGAATAACAAAGCCAATGTAACTTTACATATATATATGTTTGTGTGTATGTGGCTGCGTGTAGGAGTACACCCACACACCCCCACAATTTTTTTCTTTTTTCTTTTTTAAGATTTTTATTTATTTGAGAGAGCAAGCGCGAGCACGAGCGGGGGGTGGGGGCAGAGGAGGAGGGAGAAGCAGGCTCCCCCCTGAGCAAGGAGCCCGAGGAGGGGCTCGAACCCAGGACTCTGGGATCATGCCCTGAGCCGGAGGCAGTCGCTTAACCGAGCCAGCCAAGCGCCCCCACAGTTTTTTCTTTCTAATCCCAAACAAAATAAGGAGGGTTTTTCGAAATTGGTGGTGAGCTATGATGTCTAAGCCCCATTTTGCCCAGTTAGCTTAGAGGGCACAAATTCTTTGTTAATAATTTGAGCCTGATACGCTACAGTTAAGTTCGCAGCCCAGAGAAAACTGCTTGTTTATTCTCCAGAAATTCATCTCCACTAATATGCAGCAGCAAAAGGAATTTGTAACCCCCTTCTTGTCCAGCCCTTTAAACTAGTCCCCTCATATGCTAACTCAGCAATACATGGTTAATGGTTATCTCTTCTATTCATTTTATACCGTTGTTAAATGAAAGAACGTTCAAACACTAATTCTACTGACTTTAATTTTTGAAGGTACAGTGAGTTTGCTATGGAAAATCAGAATCCAGTCTACTAGTAGCTAGATGGCTTTTTGAGCCTTTCCTCCTAAGAAGTAACTTATCAGACCATGAAAACTCATGCCCTCGATTATTGGAAACCTCCCTTTTTAGAATTTAAGGGAAAGATGCTAACAATGTAAACGGGAAAAGTGGATCGCACTATTGGGTATCTTCTATGTAAAAACAGTTGATCATGGGATGAGGGCCAAGGACTGAATTGAGTAGGAGAAATTATATGATTTGGCATGCAGATTTGGAGAAATTTCTAATAAGAAAGTTCTGGATGGGGGTACCTGGGTGGCTGAATCAGTTAAGCCTCTGCCTTCGGCTCAGGTCATGATCCCAGGAACCTGCTTCTCCCTCTTCATTTGCCACTATCTCCACTTGTGCTCTCTCTCTCTCTGTCAAATAAATAAAATCTTAAAAAAAAAAAAAGGAAGTTTTGGATGGAAAACCTACACCTAACTTTTGTGACACCAGGCTGTACACTTTCACATCTACTGCCTATAAAAGCCAACTTTGCAACAGCACTTGGTCTACCTGCCCAATGTCTGGTAGGCATGCACTTTAGTTCCAAGGATAAAACCCATACCCCAGCACCTCTGGTTGGCATGATACTAAAAAATAATTTTAAAAAGTTAAAAAAAAAGTTTAGTATAAAGTGTGAAGCCCTCTGGTCCTGGGCTTTTGCTCATTGGGAGTTTTTTGACTACAGATTCAATTTCATTATTAGTAATCGGCCTGTTCAGATTTTCTATTTATTCTTTTATTTTTTTTTAAAGATTTTATTTATTTACTTGACAGAGAGAGACAGCGAGAGCAGGAACACAAGCAGGGGGATAGGAGAGGGAGAAACAGACTCACTGCTGAGCAGGGAGCCCGATGCGGGACTCGATCCCGGGACTCCAGGATCATGACCTGAGCCAAAGGCAGTCGCTTAACCAACTGAGCCACCCAGGCGCCCCTTTCCAAAGATTTTTAATGTTATATTTTCATTTTAACTTGTATCAAAGTATTTTTTATTTCCTTTGACAATGCTTTTGTCCTAAAGAAAGTTCCTACAGATTCCTGCCCCTTTAGCACATACCCTAAAATTAGTCAATAAATCTTCATGTAAGGCCCAGGTGCTTTTCAAACTATTGCTTCTGTGCTGGGTCTGAGTTTACGCACAGGCCCTTTAATAGTGGAGCCTCAGTTTTCTATACCCCTCTGACTCCCCTAGAGTTATGCCCCTCTGATTTTTAAAGCCAGACATTACATGGGATCATCTTCCTGGTGTAGGTCTCCAGGGCAGGAGGTGCCTGATGTATGTATTTCATACATAACAAATGTTATGATGAACTGAGAATGAACACACAACTTATGTTTATTTCTTTCCATCTTTTCTATTGAAGAGAAATGTGGAAAACATGCACTAGTACATTTTTCTCTCAAATTCAAAGAATTTCTTGATGTGAATTGAATATTTAATTCACTGAATTTCATTACAGCCACTTGTCAGTTGTGTGATCTTCGGCATGTTATTTAACTTCTGTCTGTGCTAGTTTCCCCATCTGCAGAAAAGGTTCAGGGTAATTGGTTCATGTTGCTTAGCTCGGTACTGCTTCACAGTAAGCCATCAAAATTGTGGCTCTTATTACTGCCTATTCATGTTACATGTGAACCACCACCTAGCTGTGTTGGGGGAAACAAAAAATGTAGAAGACGCAATCTTGTGCAAAGGACCCTGAAATGCCAAAGGAGTATTAAGAGTTATTCAAGGGTGCCTGGGTGGCTCAGTTGGTTAAGCGACTGCCTTCGGCTCAGGTCATGATCCCGGAGTCCTGGGATCGAGTCCCACATCGGGCTTCCGGCTCAGCAGGGAGTCTGCTTCTCCCTCTGACCCTCTCCCCTCTCATGCTGTTTTCTCTCTCTCTCGCTCTCTAATAAATAAATAAAATCTTTAAAAAAAAAAGAGTTATTCAAAATATCATTTGTCGGGGTGCCTGGGTGGCTCAGTCGGTTGAGCTGAGCAACCAAGTCTTGGTTTCAGCTCAGGTGATATTCTCAGGGTCTTGGGATCAATCTCCACATCAGGCTCTGCACTCAGTGGGGAGTCCGCTTGGAATTCTCTCTTGCTCTCCCTCCGTCCCTCCCCCCTGCTTGCACGCTCTCTTTCTCTCTCTCTAAAATAAATAAATGAATCTTAATATATATGTGTATATATATGTATATACATATATATACATATATATATAATTTGTCTGTTGCCCAGGGGTTAAGGTCTTCTCCTAGTACTCAGGGGAAGGAATGTGAGAAAGAGCAGGGTGAGGCTAATGGACCTCGATCTCTGGCCTTGAATTTGGTTGCTACCCTTGGACAGCTACCTCATGACTATGAGCTCTCTTTCCTCATCTTTTCACACCCCCATCTCAACCGGGATGGTGGTCAGCTTTTTTGTTTCTTGCTTGGAATGAATGGACTGAACTCTTTTTTCAGCTAAAGGTTATGTGGAGTTTTGAAACTATAGTGTGCATTCATCTAACAGGACGTCAGGTTTGGCTGTGGAGACCCCTGAAATCTAAGTTTCTATGTTAAATAGATAGCAGAAGAGGCAGTTTAGCACCTTGACATTTTTTCATTTTTTATTTTTTAATTTATTTTAGAGAGAGAGTGTGCCTGTGAGCCAGCACAAGCCGGGGGAGGGGCAGATGGAGAGGGAGAGGCAGAAAATCTCAAGCAGACTCCACACCAAGTGCGGAGCCCAGTGCCGGGCTGGATCTCACCACCCTGAGATCATGACCTGAGCTGAAACCAAGAGTCGGATGCTTACGGACACTTAACTAACTGAGCCACCCAGGCTCCCTGCCTTGAAATATTTTTGTCGGACTTCCTGTTTGAAGTTTTGATGTGGTGGGTGGGCCTACAGAATTCACTGGATATTCTTGGAAATTTTTTCTGCTTAAAATGAAGAAATAGGACCCTTTTGGATGTTTCTTGGGGTGTTGGGGTTAGGTACCTTGGCCAGGGTCAATCCCATTATGAGACCCCCCTCCTCCCTGTTTGACTTTCCTTCCTTCTTTATGACTATGTCAATCCTCATGAAATTCCTTTAGGTGACCATTTGAGTTAAAAGGGGGGTAGGCAAGTGAGAAAAAAAAAAAAGACAGCTCTGTTCCTTGACCTTGTGGTGGGGGCTATGGAAGGAGATGTAAGGAACTCGTTTGCATATGAATTCTGAGTTCTGTTTTCCCTTCCTCTTATATGCCCAGCTGGTCAGAGCCATCTCCTTGTGCCCCACCAGCTACCTCCCAGAGGAAATGCCGAGCTGCCAGGCCCCCTCACTCCCCAGCTCCCTAATCCTGACCCATAGCTCTGGGCCTAGCTGTTGACATGGATTTCTTCCTCCCCTAGGTCTCCACAGTCTCCTTTTCCACTTCCTATTTAAAAACATCCTTTGTTTCATCCTTTGTCTCCCTTGTTCAAGGGAGAAGTGGACAGAGACTTTTCCTTTCCTCCATCTTTTTTCCCCTAAACCAAGTTTCTTGGTCCTGGAATAAGAGAGTGTTGTGCTCCAAATCTGCAATTCACATAGCACCTCTAATTTTGTCTGGGTACTGTGCTGAGGATGGGTCTAGGCATCTTGATCTCAAGGTCATGAGTTCAAGCCCCACATTGGGCATAGAGCCTATAAAAAAAAAAAAGGATGGGTTTAGGCATATCAATTATGTACCCATGGCTGAATGCTGTCACTTCAATCTCTTGTGTCCATTGATATTAAAAGCAAGAGTGTGTGTAGGAGGCCCTTTTTGTATTTCTAGAGTCTAAAATATTGGTATGCAAATGTTGTGAATTCAAACCTTCACCTTAAGACCTACGCTTTGTGCCTGTGTGGCAGGGACGGAGATGGAACACAGCTCATTGCATTTGAAAATCATATTCACACCACTGCACCCAGGGCCCTTTTCCCATAGCTCCATGATGATATCTGAGAAGGAGGGAGTGTGACATTGATCAAAATAAACCATAAATGATCCATTTCAAAGTGAAAATCAATTGCTTCATGACAGTTTTCAAGATATCAGCTTACTTTCCTAAAAAAGTTAATT